GACACGGCTCAAGGAGGGTCACCAAAGTGAAGCATCACTAGTAGACGTCAGCGAGAGTGTGGATGACCACTTTGATCAGCACGTGAAAGGACCGAGATAGCGAGGTATCGGTCCTGCATCGTCGGGCTACCAAAGTGGAGAGAACCATCCCTTCAGCTGAGAATCGAAATTGTGACCATCATCCTCATCGGATCATCCTCAGAGATATTTATTTCCTAGACAGTCATCACTAGCCTATTGTCAGCCTTACTGCGACGTAAGTAAAGTCCTACTACTAATGCCACCAGTTTTCGGCAGGTGGCTATAGGAATTGACCTTTAGCCGACCAGTTGGAGTAAATGCTGGTATTAAAGATGGTCGATTTGGTGATTTGACTGGCTATTTATTCTACGTTATAAGTCACCTCAAAGGTATTCAACAGAGCCACGATGGCTCAGGGGATAGAGCGCTCGCCTTCCAACGAGGTGAACCGGGGTTCGATCCCAGCGATGGCTGGCCGATACAAATTCCGCATCCGACTTGCACCGACCACAGTGCTGGCATAAAATATCCTCAGTGGTAGACGGATATTTTGTTCTTTCTCATACAAATATGCAATTCTATATATTCCCTTAGTTTAGATGAACAATATGCTACTCAACTTAAAGTGTTCTCCTGATAATGAGATGCAACTTAATCCTGCATCCCTTGCATCAGCCATCGAAAATCATGAAGTTAGTAATAAAAAATAAAGAAGGTGAATGATTTTCCCATTAACATTATGATTTTTAAACAATTACTATTAAACATGAATTTTATGGAATTAATTCTTGGTTGAGTCCAAAATAAAATAAATAATAATAACAAGTATGTAAAAGTTGATATTAATTAAATTTATAATTAACAATACTTTGTACAATTATTAAATAAAAAAGGAATATTATATTTGTTGTGTACATTCATATGAATTNACTTTTTTATAGGCTAAGTCCCTATACGCTCTTAAATTGAACATTTCACTAAACATGTTCATTCTATCTTTTTTTTCTTTTTTAAATGTTAGATGAAATGCGTTTTTCTATATTTTTTTCCTTGTAGTGATTTCAATCATCTATCCAAAGGAATTCAAGGAGCAATTTGATTTATATCGTTGAATTTCTTGCTGCACGAAAGAGAGAAAATTAATTAAAGCAGTCTTAGTAATAAGACTTGTTAGGCAAATCACAAGGCTGACAAGGAAACGATAAGATGTTTTTTTTCTTCCTTAGTTGGATAAAAATTAAGAAGAAAAAAAAATAAAGCAATAAAAAAAACTGACGATACTCGAAATTAAGTATTTAATTAAAAATATTAGATAGAGTTGCATGTAATTTTAGACAGTATTCAAAGACGTAATCAGTCTTGTTATAAAAGAAATATCAAAATTAAGTTTTCGCGTTACTTTGACATAAAACAAAACAGAATGTTGCTTTTAATGAGAAGAAAAACTTCGTATTTCTCTACATATGCTACACTGAGAGGTTTTTTTTTCTTTCTAAATTAACGAAAAAAAACATCGTAAATATTTTTTTTTTAATAATGATTATTAAAATTGCTGCAATACTAACCAGAGAAAATTACTTGATAGTGGTAAATTTGGACTATCATGAGTTGGCCGCGAGCATTAGCATCAGCGATGCTAATTACATTTTATTTTTATTCTTAAAGGGATAAACTAAAAAAAAAAGGAATTTCGCTTACTTTAATAACGTAAAGCCACCGATAAAGGGTAACAAATCATATTAAATTAAAAAATTTAAATTACTTTTACATTAATTAAATTTTTTTATTAATTAAGAAACTTAGTAGAAGAACCAGGTAAGTGGCATTTTCAGAGCGAAAAAAAAAAGTTCTGTCCGAAATATTTTATTGCAAGACGGGACTATTAATTCGTTGCCTTATTTTATTTACCACTTCCTAATTTGGAATAAAAAACATGCAAGCATACTAAAAACTAATGTGGATTAGTTATGTTAAGATTAAAGTAAAGGCAAAAACAGTTCTGTTACATTAAACATACCTACATTAATGCAACCACTTTATGTTATTTTCTCTGATTCATTAATTCCCCTAGAGAAGATACTTACCTAGTTCTTCCATCAAGCTTTTTAATTGTGTCGCTATGTGTTTTTTAGTTTAGAGTATGATTTCGTAGTGTTTCTCAGCACTGATTTATTGATTATTTACCTTTTTTTATTCACATTATAATGTTGTTTAAACTAATTATATATTGCATACATACACTATTTGGCTAACATCCAGGGCTACGAACCCGAGGCATCTATTAAGAGGACACTATATCAAGGGAAAAATTTGTAACGGCAAACTTTGTTTCACCACTATTGCAATTTCAAAATTTAAAGTTTGAAAAATATCAAAAAGCAAACAAATTAAGGCAGAATTACTTCACTGAGTAATCCATGCCATGATTTGTTTGCATTTTGAAATTACTTTTTCAGTATTTTATAACTTTATTTTATAACCGTCATTGAACACCCGACCCAATTTTTGGGTTTACGACTACTAATGTTCAACTCCGTAGTCTTGTAATTTTGAACAAAATCCAGAAGACAAGGGAACTCCTGGATCGAGTATTGGGTGATATTTGCCTTCGTGGAAGACTTTTTGATGGAACTAACTCGCATTGGCGTTACATGGAGAGGAAGACCAGGAGAACCTCCCAAGGTTAGCCTGACGGCAAGGGGACTCTAACCCATGATCCGTCTACCACTGAGGATATTTCACGTCAGCACTGTGGTCAGTGCAAGCCAGATGCGGAATTCGTATCGACCAGCCTCGCCGGGATCGAACCCCGGCTCACCTGATTTTTTTCTGCATTTGAAACTTCTTGGTTTACTCTAGATTTATCCGAAGTCATTTTTCCCCATACATATGTAATTGAAAGAAAATATATCCCATGGTATAGCGCCTTCATGATATTCTTCTTTTGAATCGATGACAGCCCGCAAACATCAAGGGAGACTTTCCACCAATTTTTGGTCAAACTGTTCTCTAATGGTAAGGCAAGACTCAAAGAAGATCACCGACGTGAAGCATCACTAGTAGCGGTCAGTGAGTGCGTGGGTGACCACTTTGATCAGCATGTGAAAGGACCGAGACTGCGAGAACTGCGTCGTCGGGCTGTTAAAGCATCACCTCTTAGAACTGGTGAGTGATAATTAAAGTGGGTTGAAGCATCCCTTCAGCTGAGCATCGAAATTGTGACGGCATGTCTTCGGATCATCCTCAGGGATATTTCCCAGACAGTCGTCAATAGCCCATAATCAGTTTTACTGCTACGTAAATAAAGTACTATTACTAATGCCATCAGTTTTCGACAGGTGGCTGTAGGAATTGACTTTCAGCCGACCATAACAGTTGGAATAAATGGTATTAAAAATGGCCGATTTGGTGATTTGACTGGCTATTTATTCTACGTTATCGGTCGCCCAAAAGTATTCTAGAGTTTCAGAATTTTCCTTCCCAAATTGCGGTAAAACAACCGGCAGCAGTCTGTCTATCTAATTAATCGTAAATCTTACAGTCAGAAACATTTTTTTAGCTTACGGGTTTGAAAACATTCTCAACTGGTACGGTTAAAAAATCGTGAATTCAAACCTAAGTTTTTGCAACTTTTTACAAACCGCGTGATTTTAATACAGTAAAAGTGAAATTTAACTGAACTTTGGAGTTAGGTTATGTTAAGCTTTTTGTTAAGTAATGCACTTTTGAAATTAAGCTGTGAATGAGTTTTTTTGTTAAGCAAACCATGGAAAGTGGCTGAATTTGTTTATCTAGTGGTGCCATGCATCATGAGTGATGAGAAATACTAAGCTATTTTTGTGGTAGGTAGCTCTGTGGTGTTGCCATATATGCGTGAGTGAGAGTTTCGTATTCCAATAGTCCATGGTCATCAATTGAGGAGTGTAGGACACTGGAAACTCCTAACGTGTTAAAAGAATGAAAGAAATATTGTGACGTAGGTGATGAGATTCGATCCGCTGTTTGCGAGATTGACAGATTAGCCCTCTCAAAATATGAAACTGAGAACAAAAATATTAATATTAATGAAAAAGTCCACAATGATTCCACTCCAAATTTGATCTACGAGACAGAAAGCCACTATAAAGCAAAATTTTTTAATTTTATCGGTATTTAATTTTACTTATATATTAAGTTCATTTTTAATTTATCAGCGAATAATTCATTCGATGCTTTTTTTTGATGGTGATTATAAATATAAATGAGATATTTAATTAAAAAATTAATTTATTCACAAATATACATGCTAAAGGGTTTGTTAATAATTAAATATTACATATAGTGAATCAACGATACATACGAGTACCAAGTGCAGCAAAAATGACTGTTGATTTGAAAGAAAAAAAATTAATAGTTAAAAAAAAAAAAAAAAAAAAAAAAAAAAAAAAAAAAAAAACGAAAGAAGACAATGCAATTTGAGGAAAAATTATTCTCAACACATTTCAAAATTAGGCACAAACTTAATCAACAGATGGCGCTTCAAAATAGAAAGACTGTGAAACACTGCTTTTTACTACATTTCAGACCTGTTCAGCATAAATTTTGTTAGTTTACTTATTTTCCCGTAAACTGTGATGCGTTGTTTTTGCAAGTGGTGGTTAGTTTAAAAGTCTCATTTAATAGTTTCTCTTAGTTAACTGCGCCATCTGTTTTAAACGTCGCAATAAATTTTAAAGGTTGGGGAGAAAAAAATCTTCGGGAAAAAAAAAGTAGAACGCAAGTGTATTCTTGTATCTTTTCATTTTTCTTTAATGGACTTTGTTTAATAGATTTCCTTTAATTTACTCGGAAATCGCTGAGTGGAACATTTGCATAATAAAGCCGATAGTGTTTATTTTGTGAAAATATATGTATTAGAGAAATAGGTTAATTATTTGTAATAATTAAATACCAAAAATAAAGTTTAAAAATATTCACTAAAAAAGATAATATTAACTTACCTTATCGAACAGTTGCCGCCATTTCTGTAAAGAAAAATAAGAAATTAAAATAAGTTAAGGTTCAAAATGATCTTCAAACTATTTAAATGCATGTTAAAAAACCTTTTTCTCTAGAATATTTTTTTTAAAATAGCTTTAGATAAAATACAATGATTAACTGTGATATTTTTCGTCAAAAATAGTCTGTTTTGAATAAGTATTCAATTTAGTATATTGTTCTAAATTTCGATGCAGTACTTATGAATAATAAATTAAATCTTGCACTACTTATAATTATCTTAAGATCTTAAGTGGAAACTTAATTAAAATATCCCATATTCGAAGATTAAAGTTGCTTTTCGAATTCAGTACAAAATTTATAGAATTAAAAGTAAATTTTTTTTTCAGTGATCTCCAAAATTAAATGGATAAACTGCCTTCATTTTAACTCGACGGAAAATATATAAGGAAGGAAAAACAAAAACATTATCGAAATTAGGCAAATAATTATTTAGAAAGGAGGAATTAAAAACATCGCAATTTGTTTGATTGCTGAATCAAACTTGAAATATTTTTAATAACAATTTTTTACTTCCTTTATTTTCGCATGGAAATCAAGCATATTTTGATTTTTTTAATTTTAACTTTCTATAAAATTGAAAAAATCAAAAAAAAAAAAAAAATCAAAAAATCAATCACTTTTGATAAATATAAATCTGTGCTCTAAATTTGTGTGTTTTTTTACTTCATCTTTGAAGAAGAATCCGAAGGTTTAAGTTTGGAGAATTGTTAACGGAATACAATATAGACTTGATAAACATTATATAAATCCTTTGCTTAAATTATTTAATAATCATAATAATAGCAATATTAACAAAAAACAAAAAATTGCTAACTTGAACAAGTAAATAAGAATAATTTGATAGAAGTTTATATTAACGCTGACTTAAAACACCTACTGTGATTCGAAGATTACAATTTCTTACATTTAATTTATTCCAAGTTAATAACACCAGCATATTTCATTCGCTATTTACAATTTAAAATGTAAATTGGCGTAATTAACAAATTCATATGAGATTTTCGCAGATGTAATCTCTTCTGCAGCAGAATAGCTTTCTAGGGAAATTCTGGAATCGAAGCAAATACCAGATAAGATCTTTCGACATCAGTTTCAGCGGGAATAACTGGAATTTATCTGTCTTAATTGGTATTCCACTTTACTGAAGGATCCCGTCTTAGTAATCAGAATGGGCCTTCTAGGTTTAACCTTTAATTCACGTTTAGAGAGAGGCATAACTATCATTCCATAAGCAAATGGTGAATGGCATTCAAGCGCAAAGGTACATTGGCGAGACACAAAAGTGATCGAATTCATTTCTAATGTTGCCAAATAATGTGTCGGATTTTGAAAAATTTTAGTATCAGTACCTAACTATAAAGTAATCGTCATTCTAACTATTAAATCAATTTGTGGAAGTTACATTTTTACAAATGCTAGTCGCAAACGATTTAAACAAAAGTTCGAAGGGTTCTAAAACCTTGGCGATAGGATATCTTAATTGGCATCCATACAATAAATTGCGTATAGTATTTTTTCTTTTCAAAATTTGTAATAATAATAAAAAAATAAATTTGATCGAATAAAAACTAAAAATTTTTGAGACATTTATGAATACGCTGCCGTAATTTATGCTTTCAACAGCTACCGTAATTCTAAGATTATAATTTCTCACATATTGTTTTAAGTTCCAGCGTATTTCAAGCATAAACTATTCAAAGTATGTAAGTACAATATCTTTTATGTAAAGTACAATTTAAAGTATAAACTAGCGTAGTAATTAGCAAATTCATATGAGATTTTAACAGATCTAATCTCTTCTGTAGCAAAGCAGCTTCCCAAGGAAATTCTGGAATCGAAGCAAATACCAGATAAGGTCCATCGATATCAGTTTCAGCGGGAATAAATGGAATTTATCTGTCTTAATTGGTATTCCACTTTACTAGAAGATCTCGTCTTAGTAATGAGAATGGGACTTCTAGGTTTCCCCTTTAATTCACGTTTAGAGAGGCGTAACTATCATTCCATGAGCAGACGGTGAATGCGATTCAAGTGCAAGGTATATTGGAGAGGCACGAAAGTGATCGAATTCATTTCTAATGTCGCCAAATAATGTGTCGGCTATTGGGAAGTTTTAGTTCCAATATCAAACTATAAAGTAATCGTCATTGCAACCAGCAAATCAATTTGTGGAAGTGATATTAAAGAAGAAAATAATGTTCGAAAACGATTTAAACAAAATGGCGCCAAATGATTAACAAAACTATAGCGAAAGGTATTATTTTCATTTAGGCTTACGTTAAAGAAACGTATTATTTTCATTTATTACGCTTATTATACGCACTGTTACATTTAATTTTCTTTTGTTTTTTTAAAAATTAATAATAATATAAATTAATTAATGCTTACTATCTACTTAGTACTTTTAATTTGAAAAAATTAAGATCCAAGCAAAGATTAGTGTTAGAAAACATTTTGACTAAGTTCAAGTCGGATACGTTTTAGATATATTTTGATATTTATATTTTTCCGTTACACTCAAGTTGGTTTTTTTTTTTCATCTTAGTATCTAAGAACACATACTTTTGTCAACGAAAAATTATGCCAGTAGTAAGATGTTTACTAAATCCATTTTTTCATTACAAATTGTCTTATATATTGAACTGGTTAAAAAAAAAGATATACATACAGTTAACTATAATAAAAGTTTTATAGTATAACTGTTGCTTTTAAAAAATTATGTGAATGTATTTAAAATCTAACTTGAAATTTCTGTTTTTCTTATGACAGTATTATGAAATAGTTCATAGAAAATTTGCCTTCGTTAGAGAATTACGGGTTATAACAAGGTTTCAGTGAAATAATAAGTCCTCCAATTATATAAATAAGGTTCTTTAGTGACCTTCAACTTTTTTTTCGACAATTTCTATTATTATGATTAATAATGTTTCCTAGTGATAATAAGGCTTTCAATTGGATGAATAAGGTTATCTAGGAAACTTCATCCTTTTTTCCAGTTTCTACTATTATTATTAAGGTTTTCTACTGGTAATAATGCTTCCAATTGGATAAATAAGGATCTCTAGTGACCTTCATCTTTTCCCCCAGTTTCTATTATTATTATTAATAAGATTTCCTAGAGATAATAAGGCTTTCAATTGGATAAATAAGGTTCTTTAGTGACCTTCTTTTCTTCCCCAATTTCTATTATTATTTTCATATTAATAATTACTATTATTATTAATGTTTTTTACGGGTAATAAGGCTTCCAATTGGATAACAAAAGGTTCTCTAATGATCATCATATTTTTTTCTCCAATTTCTCTTCAACTTTCTATTTTTACTTCAATCACATCATCGTTTTGTTGACTTGAGTACATGAGTAAGTTAAACTTGTGTTTGAAACAGCATAGCCGCACTCGGCGCTTGTGAATTAAGCTAAACATTGAAATCAAATCTATTGCTGAACATTCGATTTGAATCAATTGATCCATAGGTGAGGGGCTGTTATATTTTAAGTCATAATTATTTGTATGCTTAGTTTTATAAAGCATGTGTAATGAATCGTTAATTATTCTTCCTGGTTTATGAGTCTCAACAACCAGATATATTGCTAAATACGAGGAATAGAGATTTATCTGTAGGTGTTGCGATTTGTGGTACCACTGTAGGTGGAACAAATAAAGCTCACTGAAAAAAATAGATACTCAAATTTCACAAAACTTTTTTCGTTTTTGATGAAACCGTTTTCTGGTGTATGCTCCGAGCAAATATTTCGTCAAAGTGACGAAATAACTATCGTTACTTGTTCGAAGAAATGCATTTCGTAGAAAATTAAAAAAATATTTTGCCTTTCTATTTAAAAAAAAATACCTAGTACCTATTGTATTTAACTTTTAGCAAATTGAAAAATTTTTGTTCACAAAGATTAAATTCGTTAAAAAGTAATTATTCGTAAAAAATAATTTTTAATGTTATTTATATCTTTATTTAATAATAGGCGAAAATATTTAAAGTTTTGCAAGTTGCATAAATTTTTACATATTTTTAAAGAACGTAACTTTATATGGCTCAATCAGAAACTTGAACGAAATTGGCTGAGAATTTCCTGTGAAATTGAATTTTAAATACATGGCTTTTTAAAAATTTGATTCCACTGGAACAGTTCAACCAATTTTGTTCGAAATTTTTATTTTGAACAAAATTTCACTTTACAGAAGAAAAAAACTTACTATAAAATTCTAAAGATACTTCATTTTAGAAATTTTAATTGAAGCCTTTATGAAACTCTTCAAACAGGTTTTTCTATAAAGACAGGCTGACCCTTAACGCATATTTTTAGAATCCTTATGAATAAATGAAGACAAACAGTATGCCCATTGGGGGTCGCAAACTAATTTACCAGGGTAAAAATAAAAACAAACTTGAAATTCAGTTAATCCTAGTGGAGAAAGGTGAGTGTACGAAAAATCAAAAGCTGTTTAAGTGCTGGAAGATACAGAGAAGTTGATAAACACATACAAGTTTTAACCTACAATCAAACAGGTTTTATGCTAATTACACCCACTTTTTTTAAAATTATGTTTTCGAATTTCAATGCCTAATTTGCTTTGTTCCTTGCTTTATTAATTTAAGAGCTACAAATATGTACACTTTTTTGTCTTATTGAATATTACATTAAAGGCGCACTAAACTGAACACCCTGTATGCGTTAACGCGGAAGTTGGCTGAATGTGTTAACCCGCTTTTGGCTTGCACCGATCACTGTGCTAAAGTGAAATATCCTCAGTGATAGACGGTTAGAGTCCCCTTGTCGTCAAGGTAACCGTGGGAGGTTCTCGTAGTCTTCATCTCCATGTCACGCAAATGCAGGTTAGTTCCATCCAAAAGTTCTCCCCGAAGGCAAATTTCTCCCAATACTTGTTCCAGGAAATTCCTTGTCTTCTGGATTAAGTTCAAAATTACAAGGCTACGGAGCTGAACA